TGCACTAAAAGTTTGAAAAATGGTGTCGCAAAATTGTTGTATATTAAAAAATGGATTATTTATCGCTTTTCGCTAATTTTGTCACTTCTTATTCTCTAAAAAGTAGATTGTAAAATTAATTAATATAAAATGACATACCATTACAGTTTGTGAAAATATTATTTATTAAATATTATTATTTTAATTAATTGTAATGTAAATCACATCATATTACAATGTACAAGTCGATGTTCTTACTGTCATAGAATGTGATAAAGCCAAATTTTCATCGTTGCTTGCGACAGCAACTAGCTGTACGAAATTCGACTCGCAAGGCTGATCCCGATTGTGCCATGATCAGTGCCTGTCACATTTCTCTGTGTATCATCTGTTCCTAAAAATCGTATCATTCATATTACAATTCAATACTTATGTTATAAATGATTTTTAATTCACAAATGTGTACTTAGAATTTAGGTTACATTTAGTAACATGTAAAGTTACGAATATTTCAGAAATTGTATTGGACTTACAAATGAATTGGAAAATATTGATTTGAAATACAAACACGTTTATAGCAAGGATTATGGATAATATGTAAGGACCTGAAATATTGTCAATACTTACTCGATATTTTACTCAATTCTGTGTTGACACTATGATCTACTATCGATGCCATTGGAACCGCATCAGGAAGTAGTTTTTTTAAGACTCTTCCCGAGTCTCCTACTAAATTTTTAAGCCATGTCTTATCTTCGAATTGACCAGGTAGAAAATGTTCTGAACAAACTTGAGCTGCAAAAAACGTTACATAATTTTTATATATTTTACATATGCAAATTAATAAATATCTTATACATTTTTACAAAGCATGTAGCACGTTTTTATTCATATTAATTACACAAGTATTTTTTAAATTCATAAACAAAATTCATACAATAATATTGTACACTTACCAGAAGTAGGGTTAATGTTCTCTTTGCAGAAAACTTTCCACTTTTCTATCATTTCCGTCTTCCTCGGAAATTCCAAGAAAGTAATGTTTCGGTTTTTTGCGTTTCGCGTGTTGTTTTTACAATTTTTTATTGAACACGACGACATTATTTACGAATTTTGCACTTTTGACTGTGTACTAACTCACGGAAACACACCGACACAAGAATCTGTTAGTATTAGTTCAAAATGGACGATTTTTGTCACGATGCGCAGAACAGACGAAAATGTGTCCGCAATACGAGCACACCTTATTACTTCCACCATGTTAGTATCGTCACGATCGTGGCTCGTGGCACGATGGCACGAGCAGAAGCGGAAAGAGACCGCGAACTTGCGCGCGCCGCTATGGCGCATGCTATCGAAGTTATATAATTCCGGCGGTAATTGAAATTATGTTATATAATATTTATATAATATCAACGCAATCGTTGTTGTATAACACGCATATATTGCAGTTGTATAATTGTGCATTTATTATAACATATGAATAACGGAGCAATATAATAGTTTTATAACCTAGTTATATAATAATAATAAAGTAGTTATATAACTGTTATGCTACTACAGTATAACACCTGTTATACAATCTGTTACTCCCAGGTTATATATCAATTATATTTGGTGTTTGCTGGGATGATATCATATATAAGTACGGAAATTTGGTTTTTTATATATAACGCTACAAGAAATTATATATAATCATACAGGGTGTCACATTTTAAAAAGCGCACCTCAATAATTCTTTAACGAAGCATTTTCAGCAAAAATGTTTCAGACATAAGTTGTACGGTTTCGAGTTGTACATAAAATGGTGTCGTTAATTTCAATAGTTGCTTGAAGATCACGTGAAGGTCACCTTCAATTTTTTAAATGAAACCGCTTATTTTTTATTGAATATTCTTGTAGCTATCTCAAGGGCTTTCCAAAACACTATGATTAAATGTTTTTTTTGTTAAGTATTTTTCGAGTTACAAGACTTGAACGTTACGGTACCGCCAGCATTAGTTGCTTAGGGACATTGATATGACGTCGTTGTCTTCTTACATTAAAACGCTGTCTTTCACGTCTTTCGATATTGGCAATCACTTGATCATTAGGATGATGTTAATCAGGAAAATGATCATGATACATTCGAGCTGCTGTACGGTAATAGGCTTCAACAGAAAAAAATAAAATATTCTGAAAATTTTTTAAAATATTCTTTATACTTATAAAACGCTATAAATAACATTAAAACATTATTGTTTAAGTTTATTTTGTAGTAAAATTTATTTAAAGATCGTTATATATATAGTCAACATTGAGTCCAGTAATCGCGCATGATTGGTCGTGACGTCATTATTAGCTATTTCGGCGGATAATTCGCTAGTTTGCAGTAATCCAATATATACACATCGTTTTGATTCCGTAATTCCGTTGTTAAGCTATATCCACACAAACTTGCATAGGTGCATAACCATATGCATAACGAAACGGATTGGTCTATTTTCTTATGCACATGTATATGGACCAATCAATTCTCTTATGCTTTTGTTTATGCGCTATGCAAGTTTGTCTGGATAGACCTTTATCCTTTTCTAAAAAGGAGATGTGAAGTTTATTGTTGCCGCTTTTCCGCGATGCCGATTGGTTTCCTTGCTGCGCTTACTTCATTTGCAGCTGTCATTGTATATTTTGACAGTTGTGTATAATAGGGTTAATAGTGAAATGTTAAAGATAAATAGCGCGCGCGTAGCGCGCGTCTGTAGTGTCTAGTTAATATAAAAAAAGAAATGTGTGACAGTGGTTTTGTGAAGGCGCAATCAAATAATTATGAATAATGAGTGTTACAATGTGGCCGAATCAAGTGGAGCTAAAATGAAAAGGTAAAATAGTTAATGCTTATTAATAAACCATATTGTTCAAATACGAGAGTAAGTGTAATAGTATTTTACCTAAATTTATTTGATAATAATAATTGTATACACTTAGAGCGTAATCTTTGAAACCTAACCTACAAAAATTATCAGTAACGCTTTGTTCGAGATCACAAATGCTCGAGATCACGAATGCTCTTAAATATTCTTATTCTCATTTAAACGACTGTGTCATGAGTCACAGCGGATCGCTCCTTGTTTGTTTCGCGCTCACGTTATAAGAATTATTCTCCGTACGAAGCCGAGTCACTCTCTGGCACGGTGGTCCTTTCGACGATCAATAATTACAAGGACAATGGCTATGTGCATCTTCGATATTCACTTCGAGAAGCTTCTATTCCATGACATTTTGACCTTAGCTAAGCATTCGTCATCCCTGGTGCGTTCTTTGTCTCGGGTGGGTATAAAAATCCATAGAACCTACAGCGCGCCGTCATTCGTCAACAGTGTGTCAGTAGATCAAGATCTGTCATCGATCGATATTGTGATGGTCAGTTCTCATTCACGCGCGGGTTATTCAACACTACAAGCGAGAAAGTGTTGATATAGAATTCGCTTAAACCGCCCGCGTTTCCGAGTTCACTTAAATTCAAATACATTTATAAATTATGTCATTCTTTGATTTCGGCATTATTTTTGATTGTTAAATAAACTGTTGTGTTACTGCAAGCTTCTGGTGTTAGTGGTCTCTCATGCACTATCCCTCCTTACTCACACGCGCGCAAACACGCTTGTTCTTTATTGTAGATCAGAACGAGTAAATTATGGTGATTCTGCAGTAGGATACGTACAACTCAAAAGAGATGGAAATATTTGTAATGTTCAAGAAAAAGTTTGTCTAGAACACCTAGTAAATAGTAAAGCTTACGTTGTGAAGATGCTAGTGGATGAAAGTGATGAAAAAGTAATAGAAATTCAATGTCAAGACTGCGCTGCTTCAGAAGGTATGTGTACTCTTATGTAAAGATGTACAAAATATAAATATACTTAAATTTGTAACATTTTTATTCGTTATTTCATTTACATTTTGCTTTACAGGTGGCTGTAAGCATGCCATCGCTTTTCTTATGTGGGTGCATCGCAGAAGTGAAGAGCCAGAACCAACAGCAATTGTATGTTACTGGAAAAAACCCAGGTTATCTAAAGTTTCAGAAAACATCAGAAATATAAAAGCGAAGGATATGGTAAAAATTAAATGTCCGAAAGATAATTTAAGTAACTACGATCCAGATAATTTTTATAACTCGTTATTAATGGAATTCCAGTCACACCAATTTGATTGTCAATTGTCTAGACATTGCATCGATCTAAAGGTAAAAAATTCACTATCATTGCATGAAATGTTAATAACATTTTATACCTCTGATAATTTTACACCTGATGCGGGTAATTTTTTAAAATTTGCTTCTAATATCACGACCTTAGATTTGTGTAATAAAATTGCCGTAAATACGAAAAATCAAAGTGAATGTAATCTCTGGAATGAATTAAGATACGGTAGACTCACTGCTTCTCGACTCCACGAAATGGCACATTGTGGCGTGTCCAATGGTAGCCTTGTTAATCAAGTAATAAATAATACAAGTAATAAAAGTAATAAAGTAATATAAGTAATAAAAGTAATAAAGTAATATAAGTAATAAAAGTAATGAATACAAAGTCAATGCAAAGAGGGAAAAACTTAGAAAAAAAGGTAATAGAAGTTTTACAAAAAAGACATAAACTAAGTCTGGATTCTTGCGGTTTATTATTAAATCCTGAGTTTCCTGCTATCGCAGCTTCTCCGGATGCTGCAGGAAAAGATTTTGTAGTGGAGATAAAATGCCTAACGACATTAAAAACTGAACGTGCTTATATTACCTCCGATATGAAATTAGGAAATAAATGTTTCGCACAAATTCAACTTTAGATGTTCTTAAGAAAAGTTCAAAAAGGATTATTTTGTATGGCAAAACATAATTTTGAATCAACGCATGAAATCATAATTATATGGATAGATTACGATGAAACTTATGTTAAAAATCTGATACAAAAAGCTATGATCTTTTGGGAAAGCAACATTTTTCCATTAATTCTAAAAACTGTACAAAGTTAGTTATATAAAAATATTGTATATATATTATATGTGTTCACAGATATATTTTTTATAAGTCATATAAGGAAAAATAATAATAAATTTCACTATTAATAGAATTGTTTTTATTACTTATATACGTTTAATTTTATGATTTATTTTTTAATTACTGTCTAATAATAGGTTCTTGAAGATTTATCAATGCTGCAGCGACTATTATCATATCATCAATAACGTCCAATGTGCGATGGTGAATACTCGAATGAGGTTTAAGTATACTGAATTCCCTTATTCTTCTGATGACCCTTTCTATATGTATGCGAAGACTTGCGATTCTTTTAGTTTCCAACACTTCATTTTTTGAAAGTTTTTTATCGCTCGATACACTTGGTGGCCGTATTAGCACACATTTTTTCTTTTGCAACATGTGGTCAATGTGTTTGAATCCTCGATCTGTCATTACAGCACAGCCATCTGGAAGCTTCTGTAAATACTGACTTTTTTCTACTATTGCAGCATCAGTTATTCTTCCACCGAAACCTTCTGATATAAAATTTATGTGGCCATCGGGTGTTGCAGATATTAAATATTTTAATGTGTTACATTTTTTGTATTCCGACCAAGTAATACTTTGATGTATGGGGTTGGTTGGTTTTTTAATTTCAATTTCAAGGCAATCTATTATTGATTGCACATTATAATATTTGCCATGAAATTCCCTTGGCAAATTTCTTCTTATTGATATAGCATTAGGCCAGATTATTAATTTTTTTAGATGCAGGGCTAACACTGGTAAAGTCTGGCGAAATATGACATTGGCACTAGTTGCTCCAAGTCCAAAACAGTCACCTAAACAAGAATATGTGTCAAAATAAGTCGTTTTATTTTCGACCCAACTGGCCAATTGAAACAAGATTGCACGACGTTTCGACCGAATTCCGGTCCTTATCAAATGCTTTAATTTAAGTTACACCGATCCGCATAACAAATTTAATTGCATCGTTGACGTGGTGTCCTGACAACGTCAAGACAAACGCAAAAATTAACATTAGTATCATACTTACCTGGCGCAGAGGCTACCGTGATCATGAAGGCGGTTCCTCCAGGGCGAGGCTCTTCCATTGCACTACGGTCGAGCTGACCCTTGCGAATACCCCTAAAGTGGGTATCTCGGGCGTATAATTTGGTAGTTTATTTATCGCACACCTTGGACCAGAAAAATGGTGTTTCATCGTGACGAAGGATTTTTTGTCAACATCACTAGACGGTTTGGACGGAAGACAACGTTATTATTGAAGTCTTGGATAAAGATCAAACTCAAGGCTATTTCCGCTAATCAACAACTAAGATTTTTGCTTCGCTGTCGAAGATTTGATGTCTTACCTCCACACTTACACCGGCTGCAGTTGAATATCGAATTGCATAGTAATAGGGTAAAACACGAGTTTACTCTTTTCAAGAGACGCATACAGACAAAATTCCTCAATTTTGAAATTAATGATACTAATGTTAATTTTTGCGTTTGTCTTGACGTTGTCAGGACACCACGTCAACGATGCAATTAAATTTGTTATGCGGATCGGTGTAACTTAAATTAAAGCACTTGATAAGGACCGGAATTCGGTCGAAACGTCGTGCAATCTTGTTTCAATTGACCAGTTGGGTCGAAAATAAAACGACTTATTTTGAATTATTTGCTGGCGACGGAAATTGTTTTGTTTAAGAATATGTGTCGCTTAACTTTATCCTCGATAATGTTAAGCATATGTCACGAACGCTAATGTTTGTTTTTTCACATAATAAATTTATAATGAAAAATCCATTAGCTGGAAGTCCAATATATACTTTTGGTTTTTCTTTTATTAAGAGTAAATGTCTTTTCAATGCTTTTTTTAAAGAATATTTCTTCTGCAATATCTGTAGGCGCCGAATTGATGTGTTATAAGTAGATGTATTGTAGGCGCCGATTCGTGATATATGGCTCCACCTGTCGAATGAGATTGACGCGACAGGATCCGATTTAGAGTAACGGGACAGTGTGCGAAGATACTCCGAACGGTCTGCCGCGATCCGAGGGACCGAGATCGGGCTGCCGGTATTAATTAATATCCTAGTACTCGCGAGGGACTGCCGAGTCGGATTGTGTCGAGACGTAGCTATAAGTGAAGCGCACGAGATATTTGTGAAACGGAGCAAGCGGTAAAACTATGTAAATCGAGCAAATATAATAAACGAAGAAAGTGATTTTTCTGCATGTGCTGTTTGATTTATTAACAATTGCCTCCGTATCTCATCACTAGTTTCTTCAGAGGGTAAAAATTCCTCGCACATCTCAAGTGTATCATCAAGGGATGTACATGTTGCTTTTGTTGAATTTGACGTACTAACAATATTAGCACTGATGCTTTTCCAAGTTAATGTAGAAATCTGGGCATCTACCATGGTTGGTCTGCAATCAATTTGTTTATCTCGCATATTAACTTTGTCAGTTTGAATCTGTTTGTGACATTGATTAATTTTATCTGTTTGCACTTTTCTATTCTTAAATACTACGGGTTATATTGGCAATTGAATTTCTTCCACTTTCGGAGATCCAGATTCCAATTCTAAAATATTATGAAACTCCGTCTCTTCGATTTTTTCTTTGGCTATAACGTTGTTTACAGACTCAACTGTGGCTTCAGCTTCATTTTCTTTAAAAACTGCATCATCTACAGCTTGTTTCTTAATTTTTGGAAGAGCTCCTTTTCTCAAGCGAACATTAGCACTGGGATCAAGCAAAATTCGAGTGTAGTTTTCCAAATCCTCCTGCAACTGTCATAAAATAGTTTATATATAATTTGAATTTATGTGTGTGTGTGTGTGTGTGTGTGTGTTCGTGTGTGTGTTCGTGTGTGTTCGTGTGTGTGTGTGTGTGTGTGTGTGTGTGTGTGTGTGTGTGTGTGTG